TTTGGTTGTCTCAGTGGTTTATGGGTACTTGTTAGTGGGGACGTTGGAATTCTAGACTCAATGCAGTGACATTTTTGCAAAATGAAAATATTTTCTGTGATCTGCACAACTTTAGAATGTCTTTCTGAATAATTTATTTAGGTTAAAAAAAAAGCTATGACTGAGCCTAGACTTGAATTCCATTTTATATAATAAAGTTTTTTTTTTTACATGATTCTGACATTTTCCAGGAATGCAACTCTTGTAGACATTAAGGGGAAATTGTTTCGTTCTCAGATTTACCAAGAGTTATTCACTATTTTAGACAATCAGATTATTGATAGTACAGCACTCATGGTATTTGAGTTGCCAATACCACATGCCCAAATAAAAATCAAGACTGTATTTATAGCTGTCAGATTCACAGTGACTCAATTTATAGGTGTGGCTTTCTGACTATTTCTGGTGTAGTCCTGCCTGAATATTTACATTTGAAATTCATATTTATTTTATTATAAATTCCATTAATTTCTTATATTATGGTTGCTAAATCACATAGATATTTTTGGAAATTGTGTATATAAGTGGTTATCTCTGGATTTTGTTTCAGGGTAGTAAAGATGTGTTTTATATGCTTCTTAGAGAAAGGGGGTATTGGACCTGATGTGGGTGAGCTCTCGCGAGGTCTCAAGCCACCACTGCCCTGGACCACTGTGCCTCTCAGTGTCTTTGAAGCAACCAATCCTTGGGCCGTTCTGCTTGTCTCCTTCCGGACCTATGCAAAGGTTATCTTTGCTTATTAAGCATGTTGTAGTATTGGAATCTACTTTCCGGAAGTCCTTGATGTTGCTCATTAGGTTTTTGTTTATTTAATAACAGTTTTATTGAGTTACAGTTCACATGCCATCCAGTTTATCCATCTAAAGTATAAAATTCAGTGGTGTTTAGTATTCACAGAGCTGGTTGTACAACCATCACTGCAGTCTAATTTTAGAACATTTTCATCACCCCCAGAAGAAGCCCCACATTTGCCCTAGGCAACTACTAATCTACTTTCTGTCTCTGAAGAGACATTTTATATAAGCAGGATTATACCACGTGTGGTCTTTTGTGTCTGGCTTCTTTCACTTAGCGTGATGTTTCCAAGGTTCATTTGTTTTGTAGCATGGATCAGTTCATTTATTTTTATGGCTGAATAATATTCCATTGGATGGATATATCACATTTTGCTTATTCATCAGTTGATGGACATTTGGCACGGAAACAAAAAAAGTTATTTTTTACATACAAAGCATGTAAGTAGAGAACTGTATGATAATTGTCCAATAAATAACAAATATATAGATAAGTAAAAAAATAATTTGAATGACCGTCTTAGTTATCTAGTGCTGCTGTAACAAATACCACAAGTGAGTGACTTCAACAAACAGATATTTATTTTCTCACAGTTTAGGAGGCTAAAAGTCTGAATTCAGGGTGCCGGCTCTAGGAGAGGCTTTCTCTCTCTGTTAGCTCTGGAGGAAGGTCCTTGTCTTTTCTGAGCTTCTTCCCCTGGGCGATCTTCATGTGGCTTGGCATCTTTCTTCCCCATCTCTGCTTCCTTAATCTTTTCTTTTTATATCGCAAAAGAGATTGACTGAAGACATACCCTGTACCAATACTGCCTGTCTTAGGCTGGGTTCTCTAGAGAAGCAAAACCAGTAAAGCGTATAAATACATACAGAGATTTATATAAAAGTAACAGCTCACGCATTTGTAGAGGCTGGAATGTCCCAAGTCCGTGGATAAGGATTAAGGCTTCTCACGATTCACGTAGCCGCAAGGGCTGGCAAACCCAAGATTGGCAGGTTGGAAAGCAGGGCTTTGCTCACAGGCTGTGAAGATCGATGAATCCCAAGATAGGCAGGTAAGTTGATAGCTCAAGTCCCAAGAACTGGAGGTCAGAGGAATGGGAGGCAGTCACAGGATCCTGAGCGAGCAAGCAAAAAGCCAGAATGTCTGATTACATTTGGATGCAGGCCACACGCCCAAGGAAACGCCCTTTCAACTGATTGTCTACTCACAGCAGATTCAATCATGGGAGTGATCACATATAAACACTGAGAATCACAGCCCAGCCAAACTGACACACAGTCTTAACCATCACACTGCCTCATTAACATAACAAAGAAAACCCATTCCCAAACCATAACCATAGGTATTTTAAAAAACAAAACATTGCTGTCGAGTCAGTTCAGACACATAGCGACCTTATCGGACAGAGTAGAACTGCCCCATAGGGTTTCCAAGGATCGGCTGGTGCATTCAAACTGCCAACCTATTGGTTAGCAGCTGAGCTCTTAACTGCTGTGCCACCAGGGCTCCAACCACAGGTATAGGGGTTAGCATTTACAACATACATTTTGGGGGTAATACAGTTCAGTCCATAACAGTGATAATAAAGCATTCTATCATTAATTGTGAAATTTTTTGGGTTGTTTCCTTTTGGGTTGTTTCCATTTTTTGGCTATTATGAATAATGCTGCTATGAAGGTTGTTGACAGGTTTTTGTGGGGACATATATTTTCATTTCTTTTGGGTATATACCTAGGGATAGAATTGCTGGATCATATGGTAACTTTATGTCTTAACCATTTGAGGAACTGCCAGGCTGTTTTCCAGAATGGCTTTACCATTTTACATTTTCACCAGAAATGCATGAGGGTTCTGTATACATGCTCACCAACACTTGTTATTATCTGTCTTTTTTGTTGTAGTCATCCTAGTGGTTGTGAAGTAGTTCATTAGTCTTGGACAGAGACCCCAATAGGAAAAGGGCAGTCCATTGTGCTGTCTAATATGGTGGCTACCAACCACATGTAACTATTTAAGTTTAAATAAATCACAATTAAATAAAATGTAAATTCAGCTCCTCAGTCACACTAGCCACACTTCACATGCTCAGTAGCGAAATGTGTATTGGATAGCACAGATGTGCAGAACATTTTCATCAGTTGCAGAAAATTTATTGGATAGTGCTTATCTAGGAAAAGTTCATTTGACAGGGGCTGGAGGAATAGGCAGAGAATGGAAGAGGGTTTGAGTGGTTTTGTAGAAGGGCATCAAAAAACAAACAAACAAACCACCAAACCTGTTACTGTCGAGTCAATTCCGACTCACATTGACTCTATAGGACAGAGTAGAACTGCCCCATATGGTTTCCAAGGAGTGGCTGGTGGATTCGAACTGCCAGTCTTTTGGTTAGCAGCCAAACACTTAACCAGTTTACCACCAGGGCTCCGTAGACTGGTGTACAGGTGTAGAATTTGGAGGAGAGAAGGAAGAAAAACCTTGGGAACGATTTACAAGATACAAGACTTACAGAAGAGAAGCTAAATAAAATGTAAATGTGAAGAGTTGAAGGAAAGGCGCTTAGGAACTTGATTTGCTTTTCTCTCTACAGTACCTTGAGTTAGTTAATGGCATCCAATCTAATTCCGCCATTTATAGGTGAAAAAACACAGAATTGATGGTTGTCAGGGAATAGTTCAGGATCAGATAACTGTATATTATACCTGTTGTGGGAAGCTAATATGAATCTGTCCTGGTTGTTTTTTGTAATCTCTCAGAAAGTGTGGGAAATAGATGGTAGATTTGAACTAGGGGAGGGGCTCACTCTGGGCAGATTACTGACATGGAATCGGAAAGTACAAAGCAAGAGGGTCAAGAGTGGATGGATAGTTTGATCATTACCATATATAATACTTTCTGTAAGCAATCTCCGGTAAGTTGGGGGGAAGCTGGAGAAGAAAGTGGCTGTGAGGTTTCACTGTGTTTTGTTGATGTCAGTAACAGCTTTTTTTTTTCCTTGCTCCAGGACGTTATCATGTTGGGGATAGGGCAGAGACCCCCTCGCCCATCTCACTATTCCTGCCACCAAATCAGCTGGTGCATTTTGTATTATGTGAAAGCAAGAGAAATCTGGAGTGTTTGAGCAAAGTTTAGCCAAAATAGTTACTAAGGCTACTGGAATGAGTGCTTCCCCCCACCCAAAAGTTTTTCTATAAGTTTCTCTTTATTTTTTTTAATGTGTAGAAATTGTCCTAAAATAGACCAACCTCTTTTTTTAATCATTGTGGTTTCTTAGAGTTGTCATATATAACCTCCTTAACTTCAAATATAAAACAAAAACAAAAAAAACACCAGTTGCCACCAAGTCGATTCCAACTCAGATATAAGCTTTCGTTTTTGCTAGTTGTTTTGCTCTACCCAAAACAGTCCATGGTGTCTTTCCAAACGTGATATTTTTGTAGGGACTGGTTTTGTAGTTCAATTAATAAATGTTTACTTAAGGCTTTATCCGGCTCCAACTTCGTGTGCTGTCAGCATTATTCCAGGCCTCTTAGCTTTGAAACCAAGCACGTGCCACTTTAGATGGCAGAACTGTTGTCATATTTCTTACAGGTAGACAGAAGAGCCTTATTTTCTGAACCAAAAAATTAGGGCTTATGTTCTCCTAAAGAATTTTTATGCTGCCTCTTGATAAAAAAGGTATGCTGGGAAATATATTTAGGTCCTGAATTTTGGAATTCCTGGGATATTCTGCTGGCTTCTGTGGGGATATCACACAAAATATTTGAAGTGAGAACTGTGCTGGATAACCTGGGAGGTACGGCCACCCTTAGATAACTGCAAAATGGCTAATTCTCATAGTGCCAGGATGACGGTTGCCTCGTTAAACACTGAAGGTGGTATACACTGTGTTATATTCAGTTGGTTCCATTAGCGATCTAGTATATTCTTTTTACTGACTGAAATAGAATGCACAAAATAATTTCAAATTAGTAATACTCAAGGAAGAAGCCTTGTAAATAGGGTACATTCTGATTAACAAGTCTAAGAATTTTCCAGCCTTTATTTTCTATAGAGACATCTAGCTTTTCAGCATTTTTTTTAATGACCTGGTAAAATTCTTCAAGACCAAATTTCCAAAGAGCCTTTTTCCAGTTGTGTTCTCAGTAGAATGCCATTTCTTTCCACAGATTTTCTTGTAAATGCATCACCAAAAGGCAGCCCAGAATGAAGAAAGCAAGCAGGAGTGTTGGCCCAGTGCCTAAAGTGTCTGGGATCAGTAAAACACAAGCTGTAGAAAAAATCAAACCTGAAAGCAGCTCTTCAGCATCCACAGGAGGCAAACTCACAAAATCGGGAACAGCAACATCATTGTCAAAGGTATCAACATGATGATTTTTTGAACATGTGATGGATTGTAGAAAGAGTAGATCTTAATATTCTGTTTAATTATTAAATGAGCATTATTGAGGGTTTACCCTCTGCTGGGGCTGGGAATACACAGCCTTTGAGGAGAGCTCATGGGATAAAGGACTTAATTGGTGTTTCTGGTCTGTCTCCATGAATGAAACCAAGTAGAAGGCTTGTTCACGAAGCAGATACTTGAACACCTACCTGTGCAAGATGCTGTGCTCTTGTGAGCTGGTGGTGGAGCTTGGGGAGTAGGAGGTACAGGTGAGTCATATAAGACACAAGTGGGAAATGTCAGGTACCCAAGGAGAGTAAGAAAAAGTATAAGCACTTTTAAATAGGAAAATACTGTTTCTAGCCCAGGAAGGTTTTATGAGAAGAGAATGTGCGCTAGGTCTTAAAGGATGACTAGTGGTGACATTGCTCAAAAACCTAGACAGGTGTTTTTATTCCTACTCCATCTCCTTACACACTGTGAACTGTTTTTCTTTTTCTGACAGTTGACCCAGTATTTATCCTGGATGGTACAGAAAGTTAAGTGCTCGACAACTAACAGAAAGGTTGGCGGTTTGAACTCACCCAGAGGCTCTTTGGAAGACAGGCCTGGCAGTCTGCTTGCAAAAGATCACAGCCTTGAAAACCCTTTGGAGCGGTTCTGCTCTGCACACATGGGGTCACTGTGAGTTGGAATTGACTCGACAGTAGCTAACAACAAAAAAATTGGGTGATATTAATTTACCACCATCACGTTGCTGTGGATTCGACTCTAACTCTTGGCGACCCCATGTGTGTCAGACTAGAATTGTGCTCCATAGGGTTTTCAGTGGCTAATATTTTGGAAGTAGATCACTAGGCCTTTTTTTGCAAGGTACCTCTTGGACTGGAACCTCCAACCATTTGGTTAGCAGCCGTGTGAGCTGACTGTTTGCACCACCTAGGGACTTAGGTATTAATTTAGTAAGAGCATAATTAGTTTCTGTTCCACTCCTTTAGAGGCTAGCTTAGTTCTTGTTAGTATAGGATAGTGATTAATTAGATCATGGGTTTTGGGGCTCAGTACATACCACGGTCAGGATAAAATTAATAATATATGAAAGTGGTTCCCATAAGGCCTGGCACATAGTAAGTGCTTGGTAAATGACAGTTAATGGTTAAACAGTGCTGGATTAACTCCTGTAAGTAGTAGTTTTCCCACAGGTTATTCTTGGCGTCTGCTTTGGTTTGGGCTTTCTGAGAGACCAGATTGCTTCGTGCGAGTTTTCTGTGGTCAAGTCTCAGCTGTCACTGACAGAGGTCACAGTCTTCTTCCACCCCTCTCATTCAGAATTGTTTGTTCTTTGCTTATTTGCTTTAGGGATATGGTGCTTCGGGTGGAAACATGATCCTTTCGGAAGCCTGTGTCCAGGCGAGCTTTGCTAGATCATGGCTTAATTATTTTAAGAAACGCCTCAGAGAAACCTCTGAGGAGGGGCTCCCTTCTATGTGTTGAGAGACCTAGCAGGAAATGGTGGTTTTTCTATTCCAGGGTTGTTGAAACTGAACCCAAACTTTCTCCGTGGACTTGGAGAGGCCCCGCCCAGTTTTCTCCTTACTACAGCCCTGGATGTTATCCTACTCCATTTCCGTTAGTCTGAACCACACTGGGATTGTCTCCTTGGTGGCAGTGCTGCCATTCTTGGGCGTAAGACAGCCTGTGTCTTGTGACCTAACTGCTTACTCAGGTACTGGGGCTGTATTCCGGAATCTTGTGATGGCTGGGTGACCTGCCGTTTACCGGACTGGAAGAGCAGGTTGAAGCATTGACATTGGAGGTGCCCCAGTGCCTGTTTCCTCCTGGCTTCTCCCTGTCACCAGGGCAGTGTCTGCAGCTCGGCCGTGAAGTGTGCATTGAGCAGGCTGGCCAGGCCTCCTCAGGTTCTGTTCTGGAGCTGCTGTGGCTTGGTCGTCAGTAGTGAATACTTTTTCTTGTAGAGCAGAGCTGTGGACCTGTTCCAGCCAGCATGTCACGGCACCCTGTCCCTCGCTTTGCCTCTGCTGTGTTGGCTGGTGTGTGTTAAAGTCACTCTTCACATGTGTTTGGGGTTTGGAGGGTAAGGGAAGAGGTGGAGCTCTTCGGGGACACTTTGCCTAGACTGGAGCAATTGCTTTCACTTGAGAGAGGAGACGAAAGAAAAGCATTAAGTAGAAATTGAAGTGTAAGACACAGACAGGAGGAAGAAAATAGTAAAACTGAACAGAAACATTGAAAAAGTTAAAGAAATTTGAAGTGCTTGGAGACCCCCAAACTTCAGTTTTGTTTTATTTTTCTAAGTTTTTGTATTTCCCTGTGGTTCTCTAGCAGATAGATACCTCCCACATTTTGAACTCTTGTAACTCTGATGCAGTGTTGATGATTAACTGGATGAATGAAGCAGTTGGCTTTTAATTATTTAGATGTTATGCACACTCATCTGCTCATGTGTGCACACCCACAGATGTATGTACCTGTCATTGCACAATATTCTAATGACACTTCTCTCATAGTACCAGGACTTGGCTATATGCTTTTCTTCACCTCTCTCGTTTCAGGTAGTTTTTTGAGGCTGAATCTATTTGAGAAGTAGGAGAAAGGATCCTCTTGGTCCAGAGTACGCCACTGCTAATTTGCACTTTGTAAATATAAAATGAAGCATGACTGTTGTTCACTTTTCAGTTTTAGGGAAATTATTCCCACCCTTGTCAGTAGCTGTGACATCTGGCGTGGGGCGTTAGTACAGTTAATTCTTCTGTATCACAGCTGGTAGAGAGGGTAGATTTCTATGTAGAGACCATCTCCTACATGCCTGCACATTTCAGTTTTTGCTAATGGCTCAGGTGTTGGTGGTTCATGTAATATACTTTTTCATTATACTGAGAATACTTTTTCTAAAATCTAATAGATGGGAATTAATAAGCTTCAGTTAGATCTGTGTACATAATTTATGACTCTCAGTGCTTATTTGTTGTCATACCCTGTAAGTTTAAAAGTAAGTATGATTAGCAATCTGTCTCTAACACTAGGAAGGTAAAATTTAAAATCTAACCACCAATTTTGAGATAAAGGTGCAAATTGTGAAACTTGGGTTTTACCTGATAAGTATGTGTACAGTCAATTCTCATTATTCCCAGTGGTCGTGTTCCATAAAGTCCTTTCGAACACTGAATTAGTGAGTACGGAACCGGCCTGTGTCCCAGGTGATTCATAGTGTCACTGCTCTGTGGTGTGCATGTCTGCAAGTGACTGCGAAAACACCGTGAATATTGATTTTGGGCTAAAAATAAAATTTTAGCTAATACGTAGATTTGCAAATGTAGAATCCATGGATAAGGGTCACCTGCCCTTTGACTAGTGTTTCGTTATTTGTGCCTAGAATGCTTTCTTTCTCCAAGTGGTTTGCATTTTGTATCTGTTATTAAAAAGTAGATTAAAAATTTATTCCTTCCATTACATTGAATTAGAATTGCTTTTTTGGGGCTGTTGCTTCTGGGGGATGCCTACATGTAGGAATACACATGCATTTCCAGAATTTTGTAGCAAAAATTAAATAGCGAAGAATAGCAGAAAGCCTGCAGCTAGCTAAGTGTAAAAAGCAAGTTGGAAAGTACAGAGTTTCTGTTTTTTTGAAGTAGAGCATACACACAGAAAAGTTCACAAAGCATATATGTTGAGCTTCGTATATCATCACAAAGCAAGTAGCCCTGCAGCCACCACCCAGATCCAGAAACAGAACGTGCCAGCACCCTGAAGTTCCCCTCGTGCCCCTTCTTAGTCACTACCCATCCTCTCCTCATCAGAAGCAACTGCTGTCCTGACTTCTAGCACCAGAGATTAATTTTGCCAGTTTTTGATCTTTTTATAAATGTAATAATACAGTATGTCCTTTTTATGCAGGTTTGATTTCTTTAACTCAGTGCTGTGATCAAGATACCTCACATTGTTGCAGATGGCAGCAGTTCATTCCTTTTCATTGCTGATTGGTAATGCTTGGAATGAATATACTACAGTCTCATCTATTCTGTTGATGGACATTTGGGGTTCCATTTGTGGCTATTAAGAATTATATTGTTTGAACATTCTTATACCCTGTCTTTTGGTACACATGTACACTGACTTCTCTTGGCTCTAAAACTAGGAGTGGAATTACTGGGTCATAGGGTGTACATATATTCACCTTTAATAAATGGGACCAAGTTGTTTTGTTAGAGTGGTTATCAGTTTGCGCTCCTAGTTGCTCCACATCCTCATCTGCACTTGTATTGTTAGTCTTTTCATTTTAGTCATTCAGAGGTGTGCAGTGGGATCTGTAGTGGGCTTTATTTGCATTTGCATTATTACTGGTAAGATGGAGTGCCTTTTCATATCTTCATTTTATGTGTTTAGTAGTACAACAGGTTTGCCAGACTCTACAGTCTTAGGGCACAGTCCTCCACAAGACCAGCCTTACTTCAGACACCAGCCACAAGGCAAGGGTCTCCAGGACCACCCTTACTTCTGACCAGCTGGCTACAAATTTGGGGGTTACCCTCAGGTTTGATAATTTTCTAGAACAACTCACAGAACTCAAGAAAGCACTATACTTAAAATTACAGTTTTCCTATAACAAAAGGATACAAAGGGAAAGACATAGAGGGCAAGGTCTGAGATGGTCTCAAATGGGAAGCTTCCATTGTCTCAGAGATGCATTACCCTCTCAGCATTGAAGTGTGATAGTATTCAGAGTACCACCAGCCAGGGAAGCCAGGGGCACCAGCTTTGGTGTCCAGGATTTTTATTTGGTTTCATTACGTAGGCACGATTAATGGAATCATCACCTGTGAGGTTTAACTCAGTCTCCAGCCCCTCCCCTTCCTGGAGGTCAGGCTGATAGCAAGTGTCTCCCAAGTCCTAACCCCCTAGTCATATGGTTGGTCTTTTAAGACTGTCAGTGTGCTGACCCCATCCTGAGTCATGTCTCAGAGTAAACTATCAGGTGTGGTCAGGGGCCCACAAAGACACTTGAAATCCCAAGGGTTCAGAGATTACTCACCAGGAGTCAGGACTGAGGCCAGACCTTTCTTGGGGTAAAGTTAATTCTTCAGCACAGACCATGGCCATTAGATGTCCTCCTTTGTGAAGGGCTCTTTCATGTCATTTGCCCATTTTTCTACCATACTGATTTACAGTTCTTGACCTATTCCAGACATAAAGTGCTTTGCCATTTGTACATGGATTCTGCTACTCTGTGTATTCTCTTTCTACTTCTTTCCTGATATCTTTTAATGAGCAGAATTTCCTAATTAGCCCTGGTGGCACCAGCTGCTTTGCAGGTGAAAGATGTGGCAGTCTGTTTCTGTAAAGATTTACAGCCTTGGAAACCCTGTTGGCAGTTCTGCTTTGTTCTGTAGGGTTACTATGAGTTGGAATCGACTCAGCGGCAACAGGTTTGGTTTCACTTTATCAGTCTTTTCTTTTTGGTTAGTCTTATTTTTATTTTGTGTTTTGTTTAAGAAGTCTTTACCCATCCCAAGGCCAGGAAGATAGTCTCCTGTGTTTTCTTCTTCCATTTTCTAAGATTTTAACCTATCTGAAATTAATTTTTTTTATTGTGGTAAAAATATATAGTAAAACATTTGCTAATTCAATAATTTTTTTTCTGACTTTTATTTTTATTGTTGTTGAGAATGTACACAGCAAAACATACACCAATTCAGTAGTTTCTACATGTACAGTTCAGTGACATTGATTACATTCTTCGAGTTGTACAGCCACTCTCACCTTCATTTTCTGAGTTGTTCCTCTCTCATTAACATAAACTCACTGCCCCAATGCAGAAATTCATTGGCATTGATTATGTTCATCATATTGTGCAGCTATTACCACTATCCTTTTCCAAATTATTCCACCACCATTAACAGAAACTCAGTGCCCCTTAAGCAATGGCTCCCCTTTTCCCCCTTCCTTCCACCCCTAGTAACCGCTAATAAGCTTTGGTTTCTGTACATTTGCCTACTTCATATAAGTGGGATCACATATGATCCTTTTGTGACTGACTAATCTCACTCAGCGTAATGTTTTCAAGGTTCATCCATGTTGTAGCATATATCAGGACTTCATTTTTCTTTAAGACTAATATTCCACTGTATGACTATACCACATTTTGTTTATCCATTCATCTGTTAGTGGACATATAGGTTGTTTTCACCTTTTGGCTATTGTGAATAATACTGCAATGAACACTGGTGTATAGCTTTCTGTTTGTGTTCCTGCTTTCATTTCTTTGGGATATATACTTAGGGTTTGGATTACTGGTCATTGAAATCAATTTTTTTAAAAACTTTTTATTTTGAAATAATTTTAGAGTTTCACCTTTTCTGCACTACTTCTTTGGTCACAGATCAAGTATCTGTGCAGTTTCTTTGTGGGCTGTAGTTTCTGTTGGTCTGTTCTTATACCAATACTGTAGTATCTTAATTATTATAATAATTGCAGAGTTTTTTGTATGGTGCCTTTATTTATGTTTAACTTTGCCATTACCCAAAAACAGACTGTAACTAGAGAAGTATGATGACTAAGCCACTTTTCACATGGCTGTTTAGGGTCATTTTCAGATGTAATTACTATGAAAGGAAAGAACATTTAACTTATGGAGGAAGAAAAATTAGTTCAACAGTAACCTTAACCTTTGCTGACAGAATATAGAAGATGATTTTGAAAATACACATATATTGAGTTTATTTACTGACAGCTAGTTGAGAGACAAGTCAGTGGCCCTGACAGAAAGGAGGTACAACTTTTGATTTACACGTTTTTTGCATCATAGTTAATGACCAACTTCATTAACAGAAACTATGAACGGTCCCTAAATGATTAATGCAATGTCCCCCTTCCTCTTGTATATTCTAGATTTCTCATAATGTCACAACCCTAAATTACTAATTCTTAATTCTGCTTAATTCATTTAAAACATTGATCCTTTTTCTGCCTCTTTTTTAATAAGATGGATTGGCATATTTATTGGTACTGCATTAAAACTTTTGAAATTTAATGATGAGGAGGGAAATCTGTATGTGGAATCATTGACACTGAGAACTGGAAGAGACTATCCCAAAACCTGTTGCCATCGAATCAGTTCCAACTCATAGCGACCCTATAGGACAGAGTAGAACAGTTTCATATAGAGTTTTCAAGGAGTGGTTGATGGATTCAAACTGCCAACCTTTCGATTAGCAGCTGAGCTCTTAACCATTGCGCCACCAGGGCTCCCGGAAGAGACTTCAGAGACTTGTTATTTGTGAACCATTTTAACTTGTAGAAATGAATTCATTATGGTTTATCTAAAGGAGAACATGCTTTCAGATAGGAACGTGATCACTTGGCTCACTTGTGCCTTCAACTTAACAGGACAAAACTTTTTGGTTCTTAAAGTAAATTTTCCTTTTTCCCCCACACTTGCACTCCTGTGTTGTCTCTCTCATTTCTAGCAGAAGTAGAACAGATTTCTTTGCTATTTTTTTAAATGATAATTTCACGCCCAGCCCCATTATCCAGTGTTCATTTTCTTTAAAAAAGCTCCTGATATTTTTCTGTTATCTCTATATAAATGAATATTAGAAATCGTCTCTTTTAATTAGTATGATCATTTAGTCTGACTAATCCTCATTCTAACCTTAAAGTCTCTAGTTTTTTGTTTACATATTACCTGGGCCTTTAAAAAGGTCTCTGGGTGGTGCAGATGGTTAATGCTTTCGGCTGTTAACTTAAAGGTTGGTGGTTCGAATTCAGCCAGTGGTGCCTCAGAAGAAGGGCCTGGCAATCAACTTCTGAAAAATCAGCCATTGAAAAGCCTGTGGAGCACAATTCTACCCTGATACTCATGGGATCTCCGTGAGTTGGAGTCGGCTCCTCGGCAACAGGTAGTAATAGTAGTAGTAGTAGTAGGCCTTAAAAAAATTGCTGTAAATTTTGACTTAAATCTGACCACGCAAGAACCAAACCAAACCTGTTGTTGTCAAGTCGATTCCAACTCATAGTGACCCTATAGGACATAGTAGTACTACCCCATAGGGTTTCCAAGGAGTGGCTGGTGGATTTGAACTGCCAACCTTACCACTAGAGAATTAGAAAGATGGGTAAGAAAGATAAATTTCAGAATACTTTCTCTTAAGTATTGACTCCATTACAGAATTGCTTTAGAGCAATGATGATGAGTTCAGACTCTCAGTGGTATTTCTCACTAGGAATTGCATTTTCAGTGGCTATTCTGCTCTCCTGAAACAGCGCATATGGCGTCACTCAGATGACCCTGGTCATGAGCTGTCTCTGGGATACAAAGTATAGCAGAGATGGTGTCTCAGCTTGTCTCCCATCCCACTGAATTGGACACGTGGCAGGCACATAGCAGGCTTCATAAAGTCTTTGATTATACGTAGGATTTTAGTGTTTTTAAAAGTGTGTGAGTATGATTGTTTTTAAACCAGAAAGAGGTTCTCTTTCCGTAGCACAGTACAGTGTGCTGCCTGCTGACTGTCAGAAAGTCACCTTAGAGCTCTGGAACTCAAGATAAAAGCCAAGAGTTTGTTTAGTCTCAAAAATTGCTTCATCCCATCACTTTGTATTTATTTTCTGTTGCTTTTAGACCAAGAGCAGTGATGACCTTTTAGCTGGAATGGCAGGAGGGGCAACAGTGACTAATGGTGTTAAAGGAAAGAAAAGCACCTGCCCATCTGCAGCAGCATCAGCGCCCGCCCCTGCCATGAACACCGTGGAGAACAAAGCCAAGATCAGCACAGGTACCGGTGCAGGCAGTTTAATGTTTAAGTACCTTTGTGTTGGAATAGTCAGAGTGCATTGGTGTTTAGGTTGTGCCATCTGATTATGGAAAATTTCAAACATGCAAAAGTAGACAGATCAGTATTTCAGCCCCATATTTTCAGTCACCAGCTTTAGCAGTTATCAACCCATGGCCAATCTTTTTTCCTTGAAACCACCCTCCCCCCCTCATTGTTTTGAAGCAAATTCCAGACAGCCTATCCTGTATTTTCATACATAAATGTCCTTATTTTTGAAAGATAAAGATTCTTTTAAAAATATTGTCACAATGCAATTTTCAGTCCTTAATAATAATTCTTTAAATCATAAATTACTCAGATAGTATTTAATTTTCCAGTGGTCTCGTAAATGTTACTGTTTGTTTGAATTAAAATCCATGTAAGGTCCATGTATAATAATTGGTTCATGTGTCTCCTTAGTGTTCTTTTTTTTTTTGGAATTTTTAAAATTTTATTGTTGTGCTTTAAGTAAAAGTTTATAGTTCAGGTTAGTCTCTCATACAAAAATTTTTACGTACATTGTTTTGTGACTGTAGTTCCTCTCTCTATACTGTGACAGCACACTCTTCCTTTCCACCCCGGATTTCCCATGTCCATTCAACCAGCTCCTGACCCTCTCTGCCTTCACATCTCGCCTCTGGACAAGAGCTGCTCATTTAGTCTCATGTATCTGTTTGAGCTAAGAAGCACACTCTTCACGAGTATCATTCCATGTCCCATAGTCCAGTCTAATCTTTGTCTGAAGAATTGGCCTCGGGAATGGTTTTAGTTTCGGGCTAACAGAGAGCCTGGGGGCCATGTCTTCCAGAGTCCCTCTAGTCTCAATCAAACCAATAAGTCTGGTCTTTTTACTAGAATTTGAGTTCTGCACCCCCCTTTTCTCCTGCTCCGTCAGGGACTCTCTGTCCAACTGATTTTTGTATGTTTATCTTGTATCCTGATACTTTGCTGAAATCTTCTATTAGTTCCAGTAGTTTTCTTGTGGATTCTTTGGGATTTTGTATGTATAAGATTATATCATCTGCAAATAGAGATACTTTTACTTCTTCCTTACCAATTTGGATGCCCTTTATTTCTTTTTCTAGCCTAATTGGTCTGCTTAGGAACTCCAGCACAATGTTGAAAAAGAGTGGTGATAAAGGGCATCTTTGTCTGGTTCCTGTTCTCAAGGGGAGTGCTTTCAAACTCTCTCCATTTAGGATGATGTTGGCTGTTGGCATTGTATAAATACCCTTAATTATGTTGAGGAATTTCCCTTCTGTTCCTGTTTTGCTGAGAGTTTTTAACATGAATGGATGTTAGACTTTGTCAAGTGCCTTTTCTGCATCTGTTGATAAGATCATGTGGTTCTTGTCTTTTATTTATGTGATGGATTATATTGATTGTTTTTCTACTGTTGAAGCATCCCTGAATACCTGGTATACATCCCACTTGATCATGGTGAATTATTTTTTTGATAATGTTGCTGAATTCTGTTGGCTAGAATTTTGTTGAGGTTTTTTGCGTCAATGTTCACGAAGGATATTGGTCTGTAATTTTCTTTTTTTGTGGTGTCTTTACCTGATTTTGGTATCAGGGTTATGCTGGCTTCATAGAATGAGTTTGGGAGTATTCCTTCCTTTTCTATGGTCTGAAATACCTTTAGCAGTAGTGGTGTTAACTCTTCAGTAAAAGTTTGGTAGAGTTCTCCAGTGAAACTGTCTGGGCCAGGGCTTTTTTTTTTTGGTTGGGAGTTTTTTAACTACCTTTTCAATCTCTTCTTATTGTTATAGGTTTATTTAGTTGTTCTACTGCTGATTGTGTTAGTTTAGGTAGGTAGTGAGTTTCTAGAAATGTGTCCATTTCCCCTAGGTTTTCCAATTTGTTAGAGTACAAATTTTCATAGTATTCTGCTATGATTCTTTTCATTTCAGTTGGGTCTGTTGTGATATCACCCATCTCATTTCTTAGGAAAGTTATTTGCTTCCTGTCCTGTTTTTCTTTTGTCAGCTTGGCCAGTGGTTTATCGATTTTCTTGATCTTTTCAAAGAACCAGCTTTTGGTCTTGTTAACTCTTTCCATTGTTTTTCTGTTCTCTTATTTCATTTAATTCTGCTCTAATTCTTATTATTTCCTTTCTTCTGGCACCCAAGGGCTTCTTTTGCTGCTCTCTTTGTACTTGTTCAAGTTGTAGGGTTGATGTTTTGAATTTGGCCCTTTCTTCTTTTTGTATGTGTGCATTTATTGCTATAAACTGACCTCTGAGCACTGCTTTTGCTGTGTCCCAAAGGTTCTGGTAGGATGTGTTTTCATTCTTGTTTGATGCTAAGAATTTCTTTATTCCATCCTTAATTTCTTCTATAACCCAGTAGTTTTTGAGCAAGGTGTTATTCAGTTGCCATGTGTTTGATTTTTTTTCCTTGCGTTTTGTGTTGTTGATTTCCACTTTTATGGCTTTATGGTCAGAAAAGATGCTTTGTAATATTTTGATGTTTTGGATTCTGGTAACGCTTGCTTTATGGCCTAATATGTGGTCTGTTCTGGAGAATGTTCCATGTGCATTGGAAAAGAACATATACTTGGCTGCCGTCAGGTGCAGTGTTTGGTATATGTCCATGAGATCAAGTTGGTGGATTGTAGCATTTAGATCTTCCGTGTCTTTATTGAGCTTCTTTCTGGATGTTCTGTCATTCACGGAAGGTGGTGTGTTGAAGTCTCCTACTATTATTGTGGCGCTGTCTGTCTCTCTTTACAATGCTGTTAGAGTTTGTTTTACATATTTTGGAGCCCGGTCGTTGGGCGCGTAAATATCTATTATAGTTATGTCCTCCTGGTGTATTGAT